TTTATTTATTTATTTATTTATTTATTTATTTATTTTTCAAATTTGTATGCCGCCCATCTCCCCCAATGGGTGACTCTGGGCGGCTACCCTCCCCCAGACAGGGATTCCCATCATCCTGGTCCCAGCACCTGAGGAAAGTGTCAGGTTTTTAATGTTTTTCTAAAGGCCAATAGAGTCAGGCCAAATGTATGTTTGGGGGTGGTGGTGGTGGAATTGTTCCAGAGGGCAGGCATTGCAACAGAAAAGGCACACCTTCTGAGTCCCATCAGATGGCATTGTTAGAGAGGGGACCTGAAGCGTGTCCATCCTGTTAGAATAAGTGGGATGGGCAGATACTGGGAAGAAGTGGTCTCACAAATAACCCATTCCTGTGCCATGTAGGACTTTATAGGTGATAAGGTAACTTGCAACAAGTAATTTTTTAGCTAAAAATGTGTATGCTATAATGCTATAAGATGATGGAGAAATTGGAAATCCTGTTTAGTGTGTTTCATCTATTTCTGCTGCTACCATAGCTATATACTGTAAGGGCTAGCTGTGCTTTTTTTTCAAGGAAAGGAAAACAGAAATTCTTAGAATACGAGAGATGAAATGTTTTATTTGCTCAGTGTCATCTAAGTGTAGAATGTACTAAGCTTTAAATATGAACTTAAATATGAGCAGATCTACAAGATTTTTTTCTCTCTTCCATTTTTTCCCCTGGCACAGAAGAAATGGACACAGAAAAAAACAAGGCAGCCTCTTTCATTAGAGTACTATGTCTGTCATGGAACCTCTTCATGTAGCCCAGGGTAATTAATGTACAGTATTGTTAAAACTTGATCTGATTTCTCATATCGTCCTTGTAGATGATCTGGACCAGCTTCTTGGTGAACTTCCTGATGACTTTTTCTCCAGCTTGGAAGGACAGAGCACCATGACAGCTCACTGATGCTAAAAGACTTTGCTGGGTGGGATCAAGGACATAGTCCTTTGCCTATGAGTCCTTATGTACCATGAAATTGACTTCCTTGCAGGGGCACTTTCTAGTGGAGAAAAAAAAAATCCCCTTCATAAATCAGATATTAACATTCATGGGATTGGATAGAAAACAGATTCAGTAGCAAGATGGTTGGTTGGTAAGCCAATTTTCCTCCTACTTGTGGAATAATCGTCCCTTGTTGAAAGACTTGGCTGGTTTTTGTCAGAGATGCTGTATTATTGCACATCTAGTACTGAGGGCCTGCACCAGACCTTATTTCAGAGTTGCCTCTTCTTAAAATACATTTTGCAAGGCTATTGGAATGACCCATGATGACACTTTTAAACTATTAAGCAACTGTTACTCCATTGGGTTTGAAATTGCCTTTGGTATGAATTGAATGTCTACTTTGGTGCCTTGTTATAAACATTTCAGGCACAACAAACTGTCTTCTAACTGGTCTTCCAAAGCAATAAAAAAACACGTTAACTGATACTGTCTGATAAATAATTGTGAAAAATACATCTGTTGAAATCTTTCTGAAACTTAAAAAAGATTGTGTCTTTCATCTTTTATTAATTTTTCCCATTTTTTGGTTGCAGCCATTGCCTACTTCCCCTTTAAAACATAGAGCATATAGAACTTTTTAAAAAATGAAGGAATCAGCTGTTTAATTGCTTTTTTGTTAGGGTTTTAGGTTTTAGTTCCATATATTCATTGCATGTTCAGACAGAAAAGAAAGGGTCTTTGTGTGTACAAAGAGTTTTATATTCATTTAAGGGCCTTTGGATGCACATGTAACTTGGTAATATTGGATATTATAATTGAACTGAATAAACTCAATTCTCATTTTAGCTTTTGGAAAGTTAGGAAAATTGTATAATAAAAAGCAAAGGGAGCTTTTTATTATATGCTAACATATAGATGGAAAAGGACTTTGGCTATAAATATCAAGACAGAGGTCAAATTTCATGTACTCATTCAAATAAGAGTTCTAAGTCAGCTTGTGCAAAATATTTGCAATGCCAAATGGCTGTTAAACATTCCAGATGAATTGTATGCAAATTTACCAAATTAAGAAAACCTATTTGGTAGGAGGTTTTTTTTTTTAAGGGCCAGTGTGCCTGCCTGCCAGATGAATTGTATGAATAAAAAGAGTATGCTGGGATTGGTTCTTCATATGCAATTTTCTGAGAAGTTTCCATGAGGATAATCTAGATGCTGCTATCTGAACAACGCAGGCATAGATGTCAGGATAAATATTTATGAAATAACTGAATGCAGTGATGTGCAAAACAGAACACTGGGTTGGAGGAGAATATAGTATTGAGAGAAAACAATCAACAAGGAAAGGCAGCATAATTGTTAAAACTCAGGGGAACAGCAGCACCCTTTTATGTGATTTCAGCCTGTAAAAGCAATTTACCCTCAGATGATTGTCTGATTAGTGAAAGGCAAAGAAGATGGTTGAAATACAGAGGCCACTTAGTTTTTCTCTTCGCCCATTTGGCATTTTCAATTAGTTTCAAAATTCTAATTCCTTAAAAAGTTTCAGGATCACATGGAGAAGGAGGCATTGCTCAATGATGAAGCATATTCTTTATGTATGAAAGATCCTGGGTTCAAACCTTCACACAGAGATTGCTAGTAGTAAATGGGGAAATCTGACTCATGGAAGGCAGTTTCACTAGCCCATATGTAGAACCTCAGTAGTACTGTCCTGCAGCACATTCTTGAGTGTGCACATTTCTTTTGCCATTCTGAATCCTGGAGAAAACATGCCATGCCATCCTGAGAAATTATTAACAGATATGCTCCAGGCTGAAATTTTGTTTAATGTATTATTTGAGAGAACAGAGTTGCCATTTTGAATCATGAACTTCAACTGCAGTAGAAAGAAAAAAGGAGAACCTCTTTAAAGGACAACATTGAAAAATATTATTTGTACCTGAAGAGATGCAGTACATTCTACTCCCTTGCTTTTGTATTGCTTAATTCTGCTCATCTGCACTTTCTGTGACTTAAAATAGTAGAAAAATTCCCCCAAAGCTTTTATGTCTTTATTTGTGTGTATCTGTGGCTGTCTATAGTAGACTTGCAAACTTTATTCCTTGAGCCCTTATTACATGGACTATCAACAATAATTGATTTAGACCTATTCTCAACCTGGCTGATACTTTGAAACAGCAACTAATTGTCAAGTTCCCTTACTTTGCCACTAAGGAATCTCAAGCCAATTTTCTTATATATGGCTGGGATCAAATAGATAAGTAATTTTGTTTAAAGTTTTAATATTATCTTTATATTACTTTTATGCTGCTTTTGTTTTTTTCATTTGTTACATTTTCATTATAATATTAGGTGGCATAAAAGTCACATCAGTCGATTAATTACTGATCTTCTAACTGAACTTGAGAACTGATGTTCCCTTTTTTACTCAGTTCTAAAAAGAAAGATGACACTGCTCCTATGATTACTCAATTCTATTTATAACACTGAGTAGGCTGGATTATTCTCTAAGTACACATATGTGCTTGTCAGTGAGACTTTGTCATAACAGTAGCTTTTTAAAATTGGAAATAAGGGCTGCTTTCCTAATGATTTGGGGTGGATGAGTTGGGCTACTATGTGAAAAACACTGAATTCCTTCCTTGAAGAATGTCGAAGGAAACTTTTACATACACCTCTTCCACTCTGCGCTCCTTGCGCCTGCAACGAGAAATGCTGGAGTGGGAAGAACGACAGAGGGCTGCATCTCGCCAGTGGGCCAGCCAGAGGTATCATCCAACTGCCAGAAGCCTCTTTTCTCTCCCCAAGCCCACCAGACGCCCTCAATACTGTCGGGATCCTGCTGTCCACAATGCCCTTTACACAGGAGACTTGCCAAGGATCCAAAGCATTTTTAAAGATGAAATCACCTCCAATTTGATTGTGGAGACCCATGCAGAAGAGCTAGAGTGGTCAGCTGAGCTGGGTAAGATGGGTTATCTGTAGCGGAGAGAAAGCAAGTTGTGTTGATTATTTTTCTTCAGTTTTGGGCCAGGTATCAGGAATTCAATGTTTGTGTTACAGAACAAAGGCTTGCGATATATGAACTTTAGTTCCATAAGAAATGGAGGGGAAAGAATCTCTGTTGATTCTTTCTTTTAGCTGGAAAAAAAAAAAACGCAGCTTTGAGTAAAGTAGAGGCCCAGACAGGTTTATTTCCTAGACAGCCCTCCCTCCCTCAAATTTGTCACCACCCATCGCATTGAACAACTTTATTGTACTACCACCCTGCCTTATTTATGTGTTCAGTCATCCACTTCCATCTCTAAGCTTCCCATGTTTTTCTGCCATTATTTTTTTAAATATTTCCATTAATCTTACATAAAAGGAAAGAAAGAATACCTGTGCAATATCCCTTTGATTAGTCATGCAGTTTTGATTGAATTGTAAACATCTTTTAAACCTTTCAATAAAAAGTAGAGAAAAATCATTAAAACTATTCACTGTACCTACTTATATTCTTATCTAAAACTCTGATGAGAAAATAATACTGATGAAATTAGAATTGTAGTACGTAAAGTGATATCATTTATAAACATCATTGCAACATAGGTATTCTAAGACTGAATTAGTAACAGTTTTGCTGTGTTTTCCAGAGTTAACCGCCCAGAGTCACTGGAGGTTGGGCAGCATATAAATTTAATAAATTATGATTATTGGTTGCACAGTCAGCCAGTTGTTTAGACTGGATTTGACATTTTTATCCGCCTATCAAATCCTTCCCAAGGACCTGGGATAGGCAGATGTTGTTTGATGAAGTTAAAGGTATTGTCACAGGTTGTTGTTATTAATATTATTCCTGCTGTAAGATATACAAGCTTTCAATCTCTATTTGGTTTGGGGACTAGGGTCTTTAGCTTCTCTGTTTGAGGCAAGACCTGTGTTTATCCCTAATCCTGTACCTGTTTTGATTATATACTTGAATCTAATGATTCAGGTATATAATGATTATAGTCACCAAATTGTAATCCTCAGGAATTGGGTGAAAAGAAACCAAAGCATTTTAAATACAATGAATTCCTCTTTCTATTCCCCCCCACAGCCATATATCATCTTTTAAAAAAATAATTGTATAAGGAAATATACCATTGATGCAGAAAACTAATGCTGTAATTAGTTGTTTTATGTTTTGCATCTTTTATTCTCCTTCTTCCGTTTGTATCTTCATTCTGTGCTCAAGTTAAGCCTAAAAAGTATAGTATTTGCTCAGATCTGTATAATAAAACTGAATCAGGCCAACCTTCCTCCTAGTCCAGCTTTTGTATTTTTAGCATTTGAGGCAGTAATATTTCTTGGAAACCCAAAAATGAAGCATGGTTGCTGAGGACTATGAAAGTTTAGTTCATAAAACTAATAACTAATCATAACTAGTAGCTCTGTTGCCCCTGAATTTGTCTTCCATCTTTCTGTAAGCTCTCCGTGTATGTTATAAAATAAAACTATGTTTTACTGAATTCTGAATAAACAACAGCTTTTATATAAAACAGTCTTAAGCTTGTGCCCACCAACAGAACTAGTGGTAATGAATGCAACAGGTTAATCATGTGTTACAGGAAAAAAAAAAAAAAGTCCTCAGTTTAATGCCAATCAATGTACTTCTTTAGATATATGATACTCTTGTCCAATCAATTATCCCTGTTTATGTTGGTTTTACAGAGTTGTGGGTGTTGATTGCTCAGAAGAAGCACACTTCTCCATTGCGCATCACAGCTGCCAGGGGCTATCAAGACTCTGTGAAGCATCTGCTCTTGAAAGGGGCAGAGGTCAATGCGATTGTTGGCGGGAAAGCTGCTTTGCATGATAGCTGTGCCAACCACCATGAAGAATGCACCCGTCTACTCCTCCGCTATGGTGCTAACGCTAATATTCTTTCAGAGGAGAGACTGGCCCCACTGCATTTGTGCATCACTCAGGAGACTTTGCCGTATGTCTGGGAAGTTGAAAAACTTGTGGGTGTGATGGCTTGAAGGAAGATTAAAGAAAGGTTAATAGGAAAGTAGTAGCATATTTTGTAAAATAACAAAGAAGGCTCTTCAAGTGCAAGAATTATTCTTTGATGTTAAATTACTCTCTTGGGGTAAGACATGTAAGAAGACACAAATTAATTCCTTTCTGAAGGCAGGCTATTCCTATGGAAGTCTTCCATGCCTTCAGTATGATGGAAGAATGTATAGAAACCTTTTAGATTTTATTACCTGAATATGGATGAATTAATGCAGAAGTGCTAGTTTTAAAATTTCTATTAAATTGCTTCTGTCCCCACACAGGTCCAATTGCCCTGGGATGACATTCTTTTTTAAATTGCAGTGAAGTGCATTTTGTAATGAAGGGACTAGTTTACCCACTTTGGTTATTAATGTGAATGTTTTAGTTTGAATGCTTAATCCTGAATTAATCTATAATAAAGTTTGGACGTGTTTGTTTACATGGTTTACTTCATGATAAAAGAGATAATTGGAAGCCTTTTTAATAGGTCTACAGAATTACCAAATGTAGTGGGGTGAAGCCATATATAATTACAAGCAGTACAAGAGTGCTTTCTGATTAACAGTGGGGCATTTAGCTGCATGCACCCAAATCTATTTCTGCAATCTTCAGGGCTAGAAATGTATTTTAAAGCCAACAGAATTTAAGGTTAAATAGTAATGGATTGTGGGGACAGTTGCAAAATTCCTTAATGCAACTCTGTGCTTTTCAGATGTGCTCAACTACTACTGGAATATGGAGCTCTAGTGAACCAGAAATCAAGAGACGGTCTTGTTTCCCCATTGCATGTGGCTAGCAGGCATGGTCTAGAGGACCATGTCAAGCTCTATCTTTGCTACGGAGCAAATATTGCTCATAGAAACCAGGAAGGAGAGACCGCTCTCAACACAGCTTGTGCCAATGCAGATAGACCTGAGGAGGCTGGCCGGTACTACCAAGTGGTGAAGCAACTTCTGGATGGGGGGGCCAATGTCCAGATTGCTGGCCGAAAGAACCATACTCCATTGCACAATGCCTGTAGCAACTGTCACATCGGTATTGTGGAGCTCCTGCTACAGCACGGGGCAGAAGTCAATATTAGTAATTGTGCTGGCAACACCCCTATGGACTGTGCTCTGCAAGCAGTGGAAGATTACCCGGAGGAAGAGCCTGAAAACGTTATAGCCACATTGCTCAACCATGGTGCTGCCTCTATTAATCCTAAGGTAAGAGTGAAGCCTTCAGTTCTAGTGATTTCTTGCCCCATGGGTCACCATCTCTTGAAACTGTTGACTGACTTTTGGATTAGATAATATTTATTATATCACCATAATAATATAGGTAAGGACTAATGTTTGTAAGAAAGCATGTGCAATATTGTGGGATTGGGGTGGGAAAAGGGTGAATAAATCCTTTGGTTATGTAGAAGGGATAGCTGGACTGGTGCCTTTGTTAATGGAACACTATACTGGCGTAAAATAGAGTGAAGTACTGTTACAGTATAGCCAGCTACCAGCTATAAAAAAAGCAATCCATGCAGTTCTGTGTACACAGTGTTTCAATAGGTAGGTCAAATTCTTGCTCTTCATATTTTGACTTTTTTAATGAACACATTCTAACTTGTACTGAATTTTAAAATATATGGGCTAACTCAAGACGGTTTCCTTCCCGGACAAGGACAAGATGTTTGGTCCTTCCATTTTACATATAGAAGGTAGAGGATGCAGAATAGGCTGTATCCTCCAAGAGAGGAGAATGCTCAGACAGCTAGTAGGAATGGCTGAAGAAGACTTACCGCTACCTAAAGCTTTTACAATCTGAGGCAGTTGTTTCACTCTACATAAGTAGTAGGGCCAACCTTGCAGCCATCTCGTCTCTTCAAAGTCCACACCATCCTTAAAAGCTAAAACCTATCTCCTGGATGAAAGTTAACAAGATACTGTTTTTAATGTTTTCTCTCAGATTATGCTTGTTATAGGTGCTGTGAGAATATGGGGTTTCTGGCTGAAGACATTCCTTTTCCCTTCCAAGATGTTCATGCTTTTTGTATGCTTTTTTCCCTCTCTCTTTCTGCTTGATGCTTTTGCCCTTAGATGCTAAAGTTTTGTGCCTTGTCACCTCGATCTATGGAAATTGTTCTGAATTCTTATGACCGAATACTATCCTGTGATTCCTGGGTGGGATCTGTGCCCAATGAAGTGTGGCAAGTATGTCTAACCGACTTCCACTGTCCTCCATTACTTATACGTCACACTTTTCTACCATTATGTTGCCCTTCAGCTTTCTCTTGCTGAGTGAGACCTGGACTTGTATAACAGTGTATGGAGCAAGATGGGGAAATGCTTGATTAGAAATCTGACAGTCAAACAGTTTTGTATGTACCACAACTTTTTTTCTTAAAGGAGAAGTAATCAGTCATGTAGTCAGTCTCACCTCTAGTCATAGCTCAGATTCAAGTCATCTGCTCTTTACAAGAATTAGTTCTTGATCTACTTGATCTTTTGATTTTTTACAATAAGATTGTATATACTAGAATTGCTTCTTATAAATTGCTTCCTATAAAGCCTCTATAGTAAATAGCCATATCCTGCCTGCATTTTTACTACCATCTGACTACTCAGTAATCCAACACTGATCATGTCTTAAAATTAATGATTTCACCATCTAATATTAAATAACTCCTTTTGGTTTGGCTAGACTGGAGGGTTTTACTCCTTTGTATAATGTTAGTTCACTGCTACTACTAAGATGAAATGTGCAAGTCAAAGTATTCAGTGGAGTGGCTGAGGTAAATTGTTATACTTAAGTAGAAGAGCTTATCCCTGTTAGTCCTATAAGGTAGATCAGACTAAGAAGCCAATACCATATAGGTCTAAAACTACTTTTAAAACTACTCTTGCAAGTCTGAATGTGCTTCCTTCCTCCTTCACTTCATTTTTGTATCTTTGAGACATTTTCTCAAATTAGTTTCTTGGGATGGACTTAAGCTGCATTTGTCTGATCCTTGCCTTAGTACTGGCTTTTCCTCCTGTCCTTCAAGGCCATTCCCTATTTCTTCTACAATCTCCCTTTTCTTGTTAAAACTCCAAGACTACTTGTTTAATCTGGGCTCCCATCATGTTGTTTGAATGTTAATTACATGCTCTCATAAGATTAATTCTCACTGTGACAATCAACCTATATTCCGACTATCTACCACTGAACATAGGTTGATCATGTAGTGTAAGCGAGGAATCATATGATTCTGGTCCTGTCTGGAGAAATGTTGTAGGGTGGGGGAAAGATTTCTATGCAGTGAAAACAAGCATTGGGAAGAGGGGCTAGTCTAGAACTTCTCATTAATGACAGTACTCTGAGTACAGGGATGTTTTAATTAATTCAAAATCAACAGAGTTCTGGGAAATTCAACAGTTCATTCACCCTTTTGTTACTTTGGTTGGTCCTAATAAAAAAGTATTGTCCAACTGTGGATTTGGGATTTGGTTTTACAACTGAGCATCATGGCTATTACTGCTTTTTTAAAAAATAAAATCACATTCCATCATGTGAACCTTTTCCATACCATGGGTCCTAAGTAAGGCCTCTCACAACTAGGTTCTATGTGTATGGATTTAATTTCACAAATTATATATATTCCTCTTGAAATATAAAGTGGAATGTCTGAAATGACTTAAGCTTATTTGGCTAGTTGAACTGTGACATCGGAACAGCAACAGATGTCATAAACTCATTTACTAATCTAATAGACCAAATCTGGAAGTTATGTCAAGACTAAACAATAAATGTTAGAAAAATAGTGGAGGAAGAAAGTGCAGAGCTGTGAGACAGATTTTAACTCTTGCCTGTCCTGATGAGGTATAATAGGTGCATTTTAGGAACATTGTTAATATGTAATACACTAGTGTTATACCTGCATTTAGTAAGAAGGGTATATAGTGTTCTAAATGTTTGGGGAAAGTGGTTCAGAATTTGGAAATGTATGTAATAGTACATATAGTAGTATAGCTGAAGTATACTACACAATGTGTGTATTCCTGAAATGCTTGAACCACAGAATTTTGAACAAGTTTGTTCCATAGGGTTTGTAGTCCTCTATTGTTGAATATGAGAGTTTTTCTTCACAGGGAGCTATTATATTCATTTCTATATAATATGTCTGTTGCCTGATGCTAATTCTCTCACATCATATGGGCCATGTATGCACAAAACCACACTTGACTTTTCTTTCTGTCTTCACAGGAGCATCAAGTGTTTTATGATTCAGCTCTTTGCCTGGTGAATCAGCCTCGCCCACTGCAACATTTAGCTCGCTGTGCTGTTCGGAGGCAGTTGGGGATGCGTTGCCATCAAGGCATCTCCCAACTGAAACTGCCCTCTTCTTTGCATAAGTATTTACTTCTCCCATTGGAGGGTTATCTCAAATAAGATGAGGACAAAATAGAAAGAAATTAATTTAACGTGATTTCTTCCCCATTTCTGTGTTATCATTCTTTTAGCTGTTGGAAGCCTCTAATGAAAATACTATTATTGCCACTGAAATGGTGATTAAAGTGCAAAAGGCAATTCTTGTTACCTTGAACTGAATTCTTGTTCTTGGATGATATGCAGGCACAGTAATTAAAAGATAAATATGACTTGGTTGTATCACTTTGAATGTAATGCAGTACCCTTTCCAGGAGAAGAAAATGCAGAGAAGTATGAAGAGAAGTTTTGACTGTAATGCGAGGGTGAGTTCTGTAAGAGACTCTGAGGCATACACATCTGAGAGACTGACTCAGGACTGGAAATTATTTTCCTACATGTTGAAGTTCCATCCACACAGTTAGTCTGCCTGCCAATGATTGTCTTATCTCTTTGGTATAAAGGATTCTCACAAATCTATTCTGTCCATCGATCACGATGGGGTTGATTCTAATCAGGCCAGGAGTATCAATCTCTATTTAAGAATGTAAGTGCCGAGGATAAACTCATAGGGAGATTAGGATCACTGGACATATTCTTCCATTCAGTCAATAATCTGATTGTAGTGACAATTCTTGGTGACTTATATAGTAGAGTTCACAGGGGTGGGGTGGGATGAAAGACTGTCATCAGCCAGCATGGCAATGACAATTTGAGCATTGGCAATAATGGGAATGGTCCTCCCTGTAATTACTATGTTTATCAAGGTCTAGACTGAAAATACTAAATTGGGATCAATTGCATGGCATGAAGTCCATGAAAGAAGTAGTATGCTGGGGACATGTTGAGAGAATGATGCAAACCATATGAGCCTCAAGATGAAGATTTTAAATCTTTGGGGTGGAATCTGGAAAAACAAATACTGTAATGTGCCACTAAGCATTTTAAAAAGAAATTGCAGTCTGTAAGATGGTGCAAGACTAGCAGTATTCTTGAAGGAGGTGACAGCAGCTTCATTAGTCTCTTTGTTTTTATAATTAGAGGTCCTCAGATGAAGATATGGTTGCAGATGAGGAGGAATTAGGTACATCATACCTGGATGCCTCAGATGGAGTTTTCTGCTGACTGCTAATGGCAACTTTTGTAGGGTCTGGAAACTAACCAAGCCACAAGACAAAACACATACAAAAATGGATGGATTGGTCTTACTGGGCAATTAATATAATCTTTCAAGTCTATTGAAATATCTACATCCATCCATCCCTCCCCTTCCTGTGAGTGTTAGTAGAACAGAGGAGGCTGTTTCTATTTTGAGTTGTAAGATAAACATTTCATGGAGAAAATCTGTGTGGTTGCTAAGAGTCAATGAATTGATGACACATAATAAATATACATAATCCTTGACTTACATCAGGCTGAGGGTAGCTTGCTTTCTTCTGGAGGAGATAAAAGTATGTATTTTCCTCTTTTGTGATAAGAGGGATAGATTATACTCACAACCTATAGTTGTCTGGTCATTAGCTATTTATTAGCTTCCTTTCCTGCAGTTGACGGATTTTAGATGATGAACAATTCTTCAATGCATTTTCTAAAGAGTTCGAAGAAAGATGTAAAACTGTATATTAATCACTATTATTAGAAAACAAAGATAGATACAATTAAAGTATTAAAAAGAAAAGCACAATTGACACATATAGCACCGTAGAGTCAACAACAACTTCCATCTAAAAACAAAACAACTTCCATCTAAAAGTTAAAAGAACTTCCACCTAACATTTCTTTGTATGTGCTCTTCTAGCAGAAGAAAAACAGCACGAGCGACTTCAGAATTTGTTAGCCTGATCCGGTTGCAAAACTCTCTTTGCTGCCATCTAGTGATCAGGCCGGGTTTTCGAATTACAAAACTCGCTCTGTTCTACGGTATGGGGCGAAGGGAGCTAAGTAGGACGATTACTTTTCTTTTTTTCCTTTTAACCAGCAAAGCATCTACGCTGGTCTCTCTCTCTTGCCGAAGAATAAATATATATATTATAAATAGAAAAAGTAAAACGCTAAGAACGTAGGTGGTCTCGTCGCATGCTTATCGCGTCATCGGCCTATTCTGCAGCCGCTGTTATAGCAACCAGCTTTGCAGCCGAGCAATCCTGTGCGCCTCGAGGTTACGTGTTCAGCGGTCGTTAGTGACGTATCTCCTTTGGGAAGCTGGAGGAAGAGACTCTGAGGAAGGAAAGGTGAGTGACAGCTTTATGCGTCCCAACGCCTCGGCTTTTCCCGCATTTCCTTGAAAAAATAAAATCCTATTTCCCCTGTTGGAAAAGCCGTATAGTTTGCTCCTGTTTCAGAGCTCCACTCTGAGCTCCCTCAACGACCCTTTTACGGGACTCCCTCCTCCTCCTCTAAATAAAAATGGAGCTTTTCCTCCCTTTTGATTTTGTTGTGTTCTCTGCTGCGCTGCTTTTAAATTATGTTATCGGTGCTCTGTGTTCTCAGGAGGCCTTTTTTTGCGCTGCCATATTGCCCCTCAGCCCGGACATCATTGGCTCCCCTCAGACATACTATGGAGCGTTGAAAGGGGGACGCTGACACACGGGAGCAGCGTTTCTAAAAGGCAGCATTGCTGGAGGAGGGACCTGCCTCTGGAATTTGGCACAGCGAAGAAATGAATGGAAACGCAGAACTACAGACTGGGGGAAACACTTTGGATAAATTTAGGAAAATGCTTAAAGGGTTTATTTTTTAATTAATATTATATTATAGTATTATTGTTATTAATTATATACATATTATAAATATATTTATAATATTTAAATTATAGTTTGTTTATAAATTTAGGAAAATGCTTAAAGGCAAGGTGAGACACAGCAACAACCACGACCACCACCCAGTTTGAAGAAAACATGCACAGGCACAAAAAATCCACTCAATTAGCCTTTTAGTAGCTGCCTCTATTTTGGAAAAGAAATCTCTTGCACGCTGCAGTGAATTTATTTATTTCTATTTATTTATTTATCAAATTTATATAGCTGCCCATCTCACAAATGTGACTCTGGGCAGCATAGAATAAAAGAACAATAAAACATATATTAAGTAGACTTTAAAAACAATAAAACATACATACCATGGGCGATTCTTAAAAATTAATACATTGTAAAGCTATTTTGCAGGCTCTCCATTTCCAAGGGATCCCCAGGCCTGCTGGAAAAACCATGTCTTGAGAGACTTGGGGAAGACCAATAGGGTTGGGGCTAACCTCACCTGCGGGGGTGGGGGATGATGTTCCAAATTGAGGATAGTGGTTAAAAAAATCTGTCAAATAGAAAGAAAGGATAGATGTTGATTGTTATCAGTCCAGAGTATTTAGTTACCTTCCAGATGTTGGACCAGCTCCCATCATCCCTAATTATTGGCATGCTGTGTTAGGCTTGAGAATTGTGGTTTAACAATATGTGAAGGTCCAAGGTCCTCAGTCTAATCGTCTGCTGATTTTTCCAATCTGTATTAGGTTCCCTGAGTTGGTTTTAGGATTTCCTATGGGTAGGTATGATCTGCTGCCTTTAAAACTGTTTCATCAAACAGAAAGCATGTTTTATAGTATTTTTATACAGAAATGTAACATTGCAACTTAGTTGCTGCATAAAAGCTAGAATAACTTCAGTAACAAGGATGATAAGCAGAAAGGGGAAAAAACTATCTCAATTCTGTTGGTTTTCAAACATCACCACTTTGCTTGCTATGCCATACTGAACCCCCAAGCGGGGGGTGCTGCAAGCGGGTGCACGCTACAAAGTGTGGGCAGGGGGGTGCTACAGAGTATGAGATCTCTGGGATAGTGGGGCTCCTCAGGAGAAAAAGCAGTGGGAGCAACTTACAGAAGTGACTTGTGACCTTCCTTGCTGGCTTCCCTATTGATTTTGTTTGTGGGAAGCCAGCAGGGAAAGTTACAAATGGCAATCACATGACCACAGCTCGCTGTGATGTCATAATTGCGATCTGGGCACCCAAGTGCCTGGATCACAATCACGTGACTATGGGGACCCTGCAACGGCCATGCCTTCGTGGACCGGTCATAAGTCCCCCTCATTTAGCACCATCGTAATTTTGAACAGTCACTGAACAAGTGATTGTAACTCAAGGACTACCTATACCAATTCAAAAGCAGCAATGTAATATATTCCATTACATCCACCTCAAATATTTTCATAAAGAAATTCTGTTTTGTCACAAACTGGTTCTGCAAATGGAAATTTCCTTTTAAACTGAAAATAACTATATACATTATTAAATATCTTAGATTACATGTAAACCCAGAGCTTCATTCCACTTATTACATAAATTAAATCTACATTTTCCTTGATGAGTAAAAAGAAGTTTTAGGTAGACACAGGAAAACAGTTCAGGCAATTTAAGTGATTTTCAAAGGTCCATTTAGACAAACTTAAAAAAAAATCAGTATCACTTTGGTCAGGAAATCCATTTCTGAGTGACTGAATATTCAGAGTTCATGTCTACTATCATCAGTGTTTTTTCCCAATTTTGAGGGAAACTAAATTGTTAAACAAAAGAAGCTATGAAGAAAAAAAATTAAAATCATATGTTAATTTATGTCATAATATTTTTGTCCTATTGCTGACAACCACAATATTATATGAAACATTAATCAAGATATTAATATTATATTTTGTTCAATGACAACTAGCAAGGCTAGGCATTTTCTAACCAAGTGGACTCTGGTATTTCTTCCGTTAGTTTACTCTCTTTTTTTTTATTGCATAAGTGGCTTTTGCGTAGGAGAATTAATGGCCAGGCAGAATTTTGAATATGCATTTTTTAAAATTCCCATTTCAGAGTTTTATATTGTAGTATAGACAGAGGGTACAAGGATATCTGCAATCTTGGAAATAGTCTTCCCCCATAATTACTACATTATTAACTAGTAGTTAATTTTGACAATAATTTGCTATTTGTAGATGTAGCCCTCACATAATTTCCAAGTTTTTGTTTTGCAGCAAAAAGAGAGAACTTTGATAAAGACAGACATCATTTTGCCAGGAAGACTGCATGGTTTAATATGCGGTCCTAGCCTTTCAGATTTAGTTACTTATTCTTCACTATTTATTATTGTAAGGATTTTAAACAATTTTGTAACTTGTTTATAGTTGCATGAGTAAGGCAACTAAGACCAAATAGCAACTTGGTTAGCCTCAGTGAATTCAATGAATTAAGTTAAGAACTAGCTATTCCTATTGTTTTCAGCTTTACAGAAAAGAAAGCAAATTCAGTATGGTAGATACACTTTTTATAGGTAAAAATAGGTTTCTCACAGTTCTTTTCCTTGTGACTTAACTGTAGAGATATAGTACCGAAATCTTAATTCAGTGCTGTCTGAAGTTATTTCTAGTCTTCGATCCAGAACTGAGTTCCATCTTTTTTTCACCTTTTAGCTGAAGCCAAAAGATGGAGCCTCCTGAAGTTACCATAATTGAAGGTGTGGGAGATGAAGTGACAGTGGTGGCTGGTATAGTGGTTCTTATTATGGCCCTCGTCCTGGCCTGGCTCTCTACGTATGTTGCAGATGGTAGTAGTCATCTTCTAGGAACTATCATGGCCAGTGGAGATTCATCAGTGATTCATCTGAATCCCATTGAAAACTATGTGGGAAATCCCGTTTCCGAACAGTCTGAGCCTCAGGATACTACTGAAGATACTGAAGAGAAGGCAGATGAAGGTTCTGCTTCTGGCACAGGTCCTACGGTGGAGCAAGCTGATAATAGCAGTGGCTCTGATGCTGCTTTAGACTGTCTGTTGGACATTCAGAGTCTGCCACAAAGGACCTTTTCTGTAGATGGTGTTTCCCAGGAAAACCAGGGAGTTCAGCAAACAGTAGCCAACATGGAGGAGAGCGAGCCAAACCCAGGCTTCATCAAAGTGCGTCTCAAATTCCTCAATGATACAGAAGAAGTAGCTATTGTAAAGCCAGAAGATACCATAGGCATACTGAAGAGGTACTATTGAATATTAACATATATATGCTTGGTTGCTTTCTTTATTTGCCTGAAAAACAGTTTTAATTAACTAGGTTTAAAAAAATCATCAGAAAGTAGATTAGAATAACAAGGTATAGTTTATACTAACTTGTCATTATATAGTAGATCTGTTTCAGAAAGATTTGATTTTAGAGACTTCAGCATAGTTTAAGACTTTTCTCACTTTATAGTACATATTTAAAAGAACCTCAGCAGATATTCCCACTGTCACAACATGGGAGAGAATCAAACCCAGCTGCTAAACAGATGGATTTTAGTTCAGCAACCACCATACACTTTTTCTTCCTTTTTGGGATCATAGGGGATTGCTAAACTTGTTGGGAGTAATTTGGGTCTGATTCTTCTGCCATTAGAGTGCTTTCTTTCTCTCTTTGCCTTTGGACTACATCAGCAATATTATCCTGAGATAGGAGTGTATATACAACCATGGTTGCAATGGGAAAAAAGCACAGAAATTACATTGTTGTTTGTAGATGAGGGTTATTTACAAAATGAATGTTGAGCATGATACAGACTTTCTTGCATCAGTGAGTTGTTTAAAATATGTAAAAAAGTACATTGGTTTTAAGTGTTATAAATAACACTTTATTTATAAATTCTAGCTTAGGTATTTTGTGATGAAATCATTCTTTGTGATTATATCCATTATAAAGGATCATCAGTTTGTCAGAATATATTATGAGAGTTGAAACATCACCATTTTTTCCTGACATTCTTGTTTATCTATGTTCTTTCTAAAGCAAATATTTCCCAGGCCAGGAAAGTCAGATGAAATTTATCTACCAGGGTCAGCTTCTCCAGGACCAGGCACGGACTCTGCAGTCCCTCAACATTCTGGACAATTGTGTAATCCACTGTCATCTCTCCCAGACGGTTTCTGCCATGCCTGATACTGTAGTAGCGCCATCGGAAACTGGGGGTATTACTTTGAGCATGGGTGACTTGATGATTCCCATTTTTATGCTGATGCTGGCAGTCATCTGGTATTTCCGCATCAACTACCGCCAGTTATTCACAGCGCCTGCCACCATTTCCTTGGTTGGGGTGACTGTATTTTTTAGTTTTCTTGTTTTTGGGATGTATGGACGGTGAGCGCCTATTGGGGAAGAAAGGTTTCAATTACCCTTTAAACCAAAATGCTTTTTATTTGATATTTTCACTTGTTGTTAACATACAGCACCAAGGAAAGCTCTTACCCAGAATTCTACACTGATTGAAAAAAATGCTCTACAATCATTTGGAAAAACAACAGAAAACAAAGCCTTACTTAATTTCTACATTTTCTATGGCTATGTCTGGATATTTTTGAAGGCCGCTAGTAAAAGATGAAGATGTGATACATGAAGAAAAATAAGGCATCAACAGTTGCTCTGCTCTCCATTACTCGTTTTCCATTTAAAACATTGTCCTCTTCTATCACCTACATCTCTAGGAACAATTTGGCTGATCGCACCACAATTTTCTTCATAACTACAATGATTGGAAAGTTATTGATGATTGTACTGAAATCCAATTCCTGTCTTTTATGCTCTTGGATATCTTCTGAGTCCCCCAATAGAGGAGAGGGGCTTTTTAGCTTAAGTGTTTGCCTAATTAGTTTGTTGCTGCTTGGAGAAGCATGGAAGGAATGATCTTGATGCATCTTTCTCTTATTAATTCCACTGTGACCAATTATCTAGTGGTAAAGCAATGACCCAGTGCACTCCATGAATGCCAATGAATCTATCTCTAGTGGAGTGGAACAAATGGAACATCTGCCTTCTGCATTTCACATAGAGGAACATTAATATCTCAAAACCAAGTATTTTTGAGCTGTGTTCTGAAGATATCTGGCTGTACCTTACCTGTGGACTCCAGGTTTAGACAGTCCCTGCTAGAAGTGCACATGCACAGTGATGGGGAAGGCAGTTACTTGAGAATGCAAGCTGGATGCCTATGTGGTGCACCTTGTGCTTGCTTGAGAAAAGGTAACAGCTGCACTTTAGGCAGCTTGTTTACCTTTTATAGTGGATATATGCTGACACATGCCTGCCCAGTCAAGCGGAAGAAAGGTCTGGCTGCTGTCATCTAAATTTCTGAACGTTATTCATGTGTAGGTTAATCTAGCTATAGTTTTAAATTCCATTGATTTTACTGAGTCTCTTTGAAGCATGATTACTTCAAATGAATTAATTTTCTTGTAGATGGGAGTTAATGAAAGTATTAAAGTATTAAAGTCAAGTTACCTCCATGAAATTCACTGCACCATTCCCAGAGACTGAGCTAGAACAGAGAGTTATAACTGAGAGCTGGATTTTCCATTGGAGAGAAATGCTACTTTAAAACTAGGATTGGGTAAAATTAAATCAGCCCTCCAAAGTTGTGAGCAATCTCATTGGTCAGGAGGGATATTATGTTTTTAGGCATCATGGTTACAGAGAAGCTCAAGTTAAATCGCAGACTTAAACATCCAGTTTAATTATCAGTGCCAAGTAAATGTCCAAGTGCTGCTCAAAGCTACTCTGTAATGTTTTTCAACTGCTGTAGCTTCTAAAATCAAGGCATTAAAAAGAGATTATCAGAAATGTGTTTTTACCTGGGGCTGGGCAGATCCTTAGAGAGATGCTTTGGAGTGTACAGGAGTGTGTACGAAGTTCTTCTTTTCAAGTCATTAAAGCAGCAACATTTCTTCTAACGTCTCCGGCTGCTTCAGAATTGCATTTGTGGGCATGCACACAGACTTAGCAGTGAAGTAGCTATGCATGTACATGAATAGAGAGACAATTGCTGCTTCTAAAGAAGCTGTGCAAACCTAGAAAAATGACATTGCTGATTGAAAAGAAGTGCTACATGTGTGTTCCTGCACACTAAAAAGTGCTCTTTTGAGGGATTTGCACAGCTCTAATTTTAAGTTCATCTTTGCTTGATATGTTGTCTGAAATGTATTCTTCTTGTAAAAAAGAAAAAAATATATAAAGACTCCTGGAAGTTGTCTTTTCTGTGCAGACATTTTGAATTTAAGGCTAAAGGGAAAATAAAAGGCCTGTAAATAACTAAATAATTTGAGTGGTCAGATGGGGCCACTTATTCATAAACACCCAAGTAAAATATTCAATATTTTTAAAATATTGTTTGGATATACTTGCAAGTCTGTTGTAGAAAATAAAGACTTCCATAGCAAAATGTACTTATTATACAAGAGGGCTTTTCACATCAGGAAATCTTTCAAAAACTATCATAAAAATCTGTAATAGTAACCTCAGAAAAACTGGATGTTTTTGTAAGATGTTTGTACAAATATGATATTCTGTTGAAATCCAAGTTCTATATTTGGTAAAGTTACATTTCTGCAAACTGAATAATCATTTTAGGTAAGCCAATAATCAGCTTAGGTAAGCCAATCTTTGTTTAGTGTGATAATTTACCTTACTTTGGGGAAGGGTTAAGGTATCTGCAGAATTCAAAAGTCCATTTTTGTGTAGGGCACTGTTTTGTTGAACCTATTTTGTTTGCTTGTTACAAGTACAAAGTGCAATACAAAGATGCTGGCTGGATTCACAAGCCAGGATTAAGAAACTGCAGTTGCTGTTTTTCAAATAATATGCTATGCCCAAACAAGCAATTTTATGGGATGTATTGTATCACACAATATGTTAAGGCAATGACATAGTTCCCACAACACACTGAACCAGAAATCACTTCTCCCTTTTTAGTCTAGTCTAGCATGTTATATAAATTAAGATACAAAGTCCTCAAGCTACCCATGTTATACATGTTATACTTCTGCCTTAACAGTGAATATGGAACCTAAAGAAGGACACAGATTTAAGCTTTAGAAGAACAAAGGATATATACAGGGTCCCGGAAAAGGAAAAAATTGAGTATTTCCGAGTATCTTAGGAACTGCAGGTCAGAGTAGAACAATTAGGGATTTTAAAACAAACAACTCAGGACTCTTGTTTGTTTGAAAGACCTGTTTCCACAGCACATTTTAAGAAAAGCATGTGTATCATTGTAACATATTTCAAAACATTTTGGGGGGGAAAAAAACTGTTCCCTTTCTTTCCAAACATGTAGAGCCAAAAATAACCTAAACCAGTACCAAGCAGAGTTACAGTTTATTTACACAGGCATTTCACAATCCATAGATGGGAAGAAAAAAATTACAGATTTGACAGTTTTTTTTTTTTAATATCTAGCTACCTGTACAGGCTGAGATTATATAGACAAAACAATTTTTTAAAAAATCAGAGACCACAGTACAGTACTTTCTTCAATGATTTCTGCACATGTCCAAAAATATCACATAGGTGCAGTTTATACATCATCAACAAATTAAAAACCTCTCATTAATCCACTCATGATAGAATACAGGTTTTTTTTTCTTCAAGTGAAACAGGCCTACCTTAAAAAAAAAAACGGGTGCAGGTACAGATACAGAGCCATATATAAGACAACCTCTGTCCTCCCCTTCACTAAATTAATGTTCAAAAGCCCCCAGATGCTACACTTCCAAAGTTGCCTGAAACATGATCCTAAAAGCTTCAGTTGCAATCATGGGGAACAAACAAGGATCTAGTCTCACTCTTCTTTCACACTGGCCACCTTTACATTGCTGCAACAGTATAAATTTAGCCAGCTTTTTGGTGGTACATAATTTAAGTATGTAGCTACTCATTATCAGGCAGTGAATAGCAACTAATTTCCCACTTCCCCACCCTGACTCCCTTGGAAAGATTCAATTCACACCAAATAACTCAGCTACGTTACAAGGAGGTGTGAGGCAGTTGTCTATCCATGCTTACATAGCTCTCTTAGAATACTGAGTCATGTTTTCAAAAACATTTGCTAAATATGAAGTCTAGGCAACGCAGGAGTGATGTTTTGTAGATTGTGATCAGATGAAGGAACAAAAATCAAGATTTTTGCAAACAGGTTTTCCTTGTTTAACACACGGCACCACAAAGCTAGGTTTTCTACCACTGTCCAGCAAGATGTTTCAGGAAGGCCTGCCTTGGTCCCAGAATACTCCCTATGCATCATACCTTTTGCCCAAGGATATAATGGGGAGGAGAGAAGAAAACCAATCCCAATAGTGTTAACTTCCTATATATGCTACTTCCACACCTGAAACAATTTGGGACATTCAGTCATGCATCTTCCAGTCAGGAGCAGAAGGTGCAACAGATCCAGCATCTATGCCTTAACATAAGCAAACAGAATTTGCCCCCACATGTAAGAGCACCAGGAAAGGGTGTGGAACTCTGGGGAGGAAGAAAGAACTTGGCAGTCCCTTAGAGATTCTCCCTGTAAACAGTACTGTATGTGCTGAAAGCTTTCCACCTCAGGACAGTTGGTGGGGATTTTCTAGAGAGTCTTCCCTGATGGAATTGAGCTATGGATTTTAGCAGTGGAAAAGGTAGTTTCCCTCCTCCATCTTTGGAGCAAGGATTTTTTTTTTCAGTTGCTAGGAACAAAGAGAGGGAAGTGAAGCAAAAGAAAGTTGTCAGCCATCTCAATCCAGGGAACAGCCTCAAGCAGTTACTGTTAGCTCCTTGGATTCTCTGCTACTGCAGAAACTAGCTACAAACATTCCCACATTAGATGAGGAAACAGGTAAGCTTCAATAAAGTAGACTTATGGGTAGACACTACAAATGTTTTTTTTTTTCATGTGCACATTTTTGGAATAGGAGAGGGCACATGTTCAGAAGTGGTTACATGGCTTCTGCACAGCTTTTTCAGTTTTTGTTGTACATCTTGTAAAGCTTCAGGAAAGGATGCAACAAAAAAGCAAAGAAGCAATACTCTCTCTAGAAGTAGTACTGCAATTTCAAGCATCCATCTACAAAATCATCAGACCAGCATGATTTATGGCACTAGATTTAAAACTGCAGTTGTCTGTAAAAAGAATAAAACAGACCAGGAATGAAGTAGAGGGGAAATATATTTTGGGGGTGGGGCTGGGGGAGGGAGAGAAAACAGTAAAACTATTAATCTATAAAAGAAGCACACATTCTTCCTCCCAGCCCATTATCCCTAACTTTCTTGAGTTTGGCTCTAATATTCCAGCACAGTTTAGATTCACTGACTGAATCATTCAGACCAAATAAATCATTTAAACATACTAAGTTAGAGAAGAATTAATGATAGCTGACAGGTCAGAGCACAGTCCTCCTGCCTGGATTCCACGAGATGTTAAACAGAGCTGTTTTAAAATTCAACAACTCAGATTTACAGCCAATTGTCAGGGATGTTTAAAGATGTGTGTTACCTTACATGTATAAAGTAATGCATATCCTTGAGTATTGGCTCATCAAGATTGGATAAATAGAGATTTGTGCCCAAGCACAAGGAAGCTAATTGTTTCACCAGCTTCCTGACATCTATATATCAGGAAGAATGCACCTCCATTCTAATGCTGCTTTGTACAAGATTTTAGAGATGCTACTGGTGAAGAAGCAGATAGTGTCAGGAAAGGAAGCAACAGTGACAACAGTAGCAACATCTGCTCAAACCTCTCTGCCCCATCCCAGCCTGTTAAGACAACTGAGCAGGGCAAAAACTCAGAGAGGAAAAGGCTGATCTACCTTCTTGTGCCACTTCTCCCAACAATAAAGAGCCACTGGAATAGACACTCTTAGAGGAAAGGGCAGGCACTGATTCTTCTCCATTCCGCCATACCCTTCCAAATCAGAACGAAAGAGCACAGGCAGGTTTACACACACAGATGCCTCCCAGCCCTGCCTACTCAGTCTCTAGCATTGCTAAGCAAATACGATGCCACCATATATATAGTCATGATTGAACATCCACTAACATCACAATAAATAGACAAATTGAAACAGGGGAAGAAGGAGGGAGACCGATTCCTCCCTGATTGATGGAGGTGCTGTCCATCTTTAAGGCCCTGCCTCAAACCACCACCATCCCTTTTCCCCAGAAGTGGTGGGAGCCCACTCTCCCCAAAGCAGTCCTAGTCTCTCATTACACATCTGGTGGGCACAGGGCTATGCCATGTGTGTGGGAGGCTTGAGAGGAGGGCAAGGGACACATGCAGCCATCTCTCTTCACAGTTAATTCTTTTAAAAGGTGTCCACGAGGGACCACTTGAGAGGATACCAGCCAGTTCCTGTCCCCTGACCTGGGTCAGAAAGGAACCAGAACAGATCCCCCCCCTTCCTGTTTTTCTCATCCCAGCATTATTCAATTGATGTCGTCATAGAGGCTGGGGGTAGGAGGGGCAAGTGGTTTAGGCTTCAGTTTCTTCTTACTGGAGCTCATTCCTGGAGCACCTCCTACCAGGCTCATGTGTGGTTTCTTCTTTTTGGTTTTTCGGGACTCAGAGTTGTTTGTACCTGTGGTAGGGAGAAAAAAATGCATGTGAACTATTGTGCCTGCCTCTTTTCAGTCCTGTTTTTCAAATACTTCCTTGTCCTCCAATGACTGTGCGCCAGTTTTGCATGGGCAACAACTTACAGTGCTTTGAAAAACTTCTCACTGCCCATTCCCAGGCTGAAAGGATGAATCGCTTCCACTGAAAAGCTCTGCCATGAAAGCATGAATTCTACTTCTGCTGTTAAATATGTGGTGGCCCATTCGCACATGTGAGTCATCAAGTGATGAGGAGGCCCAGGAGAATCATCCCAGTATTACAACTACAAATCATCATCAATACAGTCATAATACAGCCCCTAGACATAAACATTACAGCACAGCGCAGCCAGGAAAAATTCAAATGCTATGAGTCAGTACTGATAATACTTTTATCAAATGAAAAGACTTTTCATTAAAGTGGTATCGACAGTGATTAAACAAATCTCAGAATCATTCTTGTAACAATATGTATCTGAGAAAAGTACCTCTTTTGTAATCCTTTTGCCAATCTGATTTGCCACACTTGCACTTACTGTAAGTGTGAGTCAGTAAGAGTAAGTTGCATACTCTTTTATGTCATCTCCAGCTTATAACTTAGGAGCATTTGCCTACTGGGTTTCTGTCAACCCCTTAAGAAACAGAGCAGTTATCAAAAACTTGTGGTTTTCAGATGTTGCAGAACAACAACTGTCACAGGCTTCAGACAGCACAGTAACTGACAGAGGATGCTAGGTTAGCATTTTAGCAAAATCCTCAATGGCCACTGGTTCTCTATCTCTCACTTAGGGGACTATTATTACTCCCAGGGTTTTCTTTTCTTACTGTGGATCTATGTACTCTGCTATGCCCTACACCTGAAGACCAGGAGTTGAGCTTTCTATATGCAGGGGAGTTGCTTTCACTGAGGTAATCAGCAAAGATGTCCCTGTGTACCTGTTACAGAATAAATGAACAAGGTAGAGGATTCTGGGCAGAATCTTCTATATACATCACTGCCAATGAATTAGCTGACCATAGTTGAAGAAGCCAAGAATAATAATAATTTCATGAAGAAACCATTAGATTCTTTGGCAAAATGTAGATACCTCTCAAAACCTCAACTTCTCCTGAGGAGTGCAGTTGTCTGCTTTCAACAGTCATGTTATGCCACCATTACAAATAGCATGATGGAATCCAATGATTCATGAGACAAAATGAGCT